TTCTTATGACCAGATTGTTGATGAGGTTGTGGGCTACTTCCAGAGTTTGCTTAGTTCTAGTACTGCAAATGTAGTGTGATGGTTTGTTGAGCTTATTCGAGAGTTGTTGGGTATTTCTTTTTTCGATGAGTCTTGTAGGGTTTTTCAGGAAATATCACTTATGAGGAGATTAGGAAGGTTATGTTTGAGCAATATTCTGACAAAGCTCCGGGGCTTGATGAGTACTCTGCTTTTTTTTTTCAAGTCTGCTTGAAGTGTTGCTGGGCCTGATGTTTTGATTGCAATTTCCTACTTTTTTGAGGCTAGGAGTTTGTTGCCTACTATAAATGCTACTACTATTATCATTGTCCCTTAGATCACAAATCCTTGTCTCATGAGGGATTTTAGGCCAATTTCTTGTTGTAATGTGGTTTAAAAGTGTATTTCAAGGGTATTGTAAATAAGCTGCAAGGTTTCTTTGCTAAGGTGATTTTCCTAGTCATAGTGCTTTCATACCTGGAAAAGACATTATTGAGAGCCTCTTATGGCGCAAAGACATTATTGAGAGCCTCTTATGGCGCATGAGCTTGTCAGTGGCTACAGTAGGTCCACTCTCTCTCCTAGGTGCTCTTTAAAGCTGGATTTGAAGAAAGCTTTTGATTCTATTGAGTAAAGCTTTATCTTGACTGTTTTGGAGGCTCTCAATGTTCTTGCAGTCATGTTTGGTTGGATTAGGGAATGCATTTATACTCTAAAAGTCTCTATTTCCCTGAATAGTGGTTTGGTGGAGGGGTTTCAGTTGTTCAAAAGGTTTCAGGCAAGGGGATCATTTTCCCCCTACCTGTTTGCGTTATCTCTGAATGTTTTCGTTTGTTGGACTTGGATGATATTTTCTCCTATCACCTGAAATATCATCGCCTTGGCCTTACAAATCTTTGTTTTGCTGATGACCTGATGGTCTTTTCTCAGGGGCTCGATTGACTCTGTTATGGGAGTTTGACAGGTAATGAAAGTTTTTTTTCAACTTCTCGGGTTTGTAGATTAACCCAGCAAAGTATGAACTATTCTCCAGTTGTTTGGTTGTTTCGGATTTGCTTGTTGTACATGATACTCTGAGGATAAGGTTTGGCACGCTTCCTATGCATTATTTGGGTATTCCTTTGGTAGCGAAGAGGCTCTCGGTTGTAGATTGTGTCTCTTTTTGGATAATATCTCTACAAAGCTTCATGTTTAGATGGGTAGGAAGCTTTCCTATGCGGGGAGGTGATAGTTGATCTAGTGAATTCTTTATAGCATTCAACACTTCTGGAGTAGGCAACTCATGCCCTCGGATGTTGTGATCAAGCGCATTAATCAGTTGTTCTCTAGATTCTTTTGGAATGGTGAGGACAAGTCTTTCAAGGGAGCTAGGATGAGTTGGGCAAGGGTTTGCACCCCTAAGTTTGAGGGGGACCTGGGCTTGCATAATATGAATATTTGGAATAAAGCTTTCTCTTTATTGTTGATTCATAAATTGTTGTTGCAGGAAGGATCTATTTGGATTGCTTGGATTCATGAATATGTCATTAAGGGTGTCTCATTTTGGCTGCATATTTGTCTCCAGCATTGTAGTTAGACATGGAGAAGCTTATTGCATCTCTGTGACTTGGCTGCTTGCTTTCCTGATTTGGTTCACCCTTCTTTGAACTCAGTGATGAGTATTTGAAATGATGTTAAGGAGAGGGGGCTTAAGGTGCCATGGGATAGGGTTATCTGGCATTCAGGGCATGTGCCCAGAAAATTGATGGTTGCTTGGATGGCCGTTTTTGACAGGCTACCAACTAGGAGTAGATTGATTTCTTTTGCTTGAATGTGGAGACTTTGTTCTTGCTGTGTAAAAGGGGAGGAATAAAGGGATCATCTGTTCTTCTAGTGTGAGTATTCGTGTTGTTTGTGGACTGCTTCGTTGCGCGCTTGTAAGGTTCGTAGATCTGTCTTGAGTTGGGATCATGAATTGGCTTGGGCGTGTAGCACTTTGAAAGGTAAATCTCTTCCTGCTTTGATCTTGAAGCTTGCTTGGAATTGTTGCCTTTGCATGCTTTGGAAAGAAATGAATATGAAAGTGTTTGGACATATTGGTTCCATTGTGGAGGTGGTCTTTAAGCAGGTTTAGGAGGTTATTAGACTGAAGCTTAAAGGTAAAGTCAAGAAAAGACAATTACTTAGGCATAGTGCTATATGTGACAATTGGGATTTACTTGTATAAGGGGTTAGTGAGCTGATTGTTTTTTTTCTGTACAGGTTCTTTATTTTTTGGTTGGAATATATAGATGCAGTTCATCTAAAAAAATCATTATTAAGAGTGTGTTTTTCCTGTGTTTACGGTTATCAAAACAGTTAATCATTAGTAAATAATGACATATTTAATATAATAGATTCAATAGATTTCATTCAATTTATTTTAAAATAATAATATTTTAAGTTTTTTCTCCTCAAATTTTTAATTATACCTAATACTTCATTAATCAACTTTGAGAATATATCAAGCATGTTATATGAATTAAATAAAAAATTTGAATTATATATTTTTTAACAGTTGAAATGATTACAAGATAATATTGTTTAGAAAATTTCTTAATTATTAACAACGTTCACACATTTTATAAACGTAACTACTCAAACTCAAGTCCTCTAGAATAACAACCTTCCTTTTAGTGAAACCACTCATTAGATTCTTAGAATTATAGGTTGAATGCCAACAAAAATTAAACCATAATTAAATTCAATAAAAGTTGGATGACCAAAGTTTTAATCTCATTAGAAGTAAACATATCATCCATTTTATAATCTGGTGTCAAATTCAAATATTTGAATTCGCATGTGTATAAGTAACACAAATTTATATTACTAATGTATGAGGATGTCTATCCATATCCGCTTCAAATTCACAATGAATTGATTATTTTAACATCTAAATTTGTGAACTACTTGACCATAAAAAAAACCTAAATATCCATAAATATTTGAATTCACAATCTAAATTATCATCCTTCTAAATATTATTTTAGCCTATCACTTCTTGAAAACTATTTACTATTATTTTCAGTTTGATTTCACCTCGACCAAACATCTCATGAAGGATAGATATTGATTCAAACCCGACAGATTTCAATTGAACATAATTTTATAGATTTGATATTTTCTTTATAAAAAAATCAGGTTCGAGTAAATTAGGATAGACTTTTAAAAGGATAAAATTAGGTCGGATTTAAGTTTGGGTTTAGAATAAAAAATATCTAACTCGACATGACCTGAGAATAATAGTATAATTGATCTTTATATATCTAGAGATGATTGCTATAATACACATATGTCTATATATATTTTAATTATATTTCTATTTTATCTAATAAGAAAGAATTATATGTAACGAATCGAATCAGATATAATTTTTTACTTTAAGAATTAAATTAAATTTCAGATCGAATAAAAAATTCTAAATTCAAATCATAAAACAAATAATAAGTTATTATACTTAAATCAAATTCAAATGAATTAAAAACATGGTGTAGCCTAACTTATAACCGTCCATAATCTCATGTAAACTCTTGGATGTGTAATCCTCCGACGAAGACCTATCATCTACACTTAGAGATCTTTAGGAATCATTTGGTAATGTTTGTGGAAGTGTTTTTGATTCAAAAATTCGTTTGAAACGTAAAAGTAATTCTAAATGCCTTATTTTTAACTAAAAATTCACATTTTAAACAAGTTTATTAATTCAAATCAAGAAATTGAAAAAAAACATTAATTTTACATTAAAAAACCTTGTTTGAAGAAACATTTTCAAAACATTTTCAAAGAATGTCTTAGAAAATAGGACAATGGAGATTTGAAAACTTGCTTAAAATTAGGGGTGTTGAAATAACCGAACTAATTCGGTTAACCGACCGAACCGAATTAGTTCGGTTAATTCGGTTCGGTTACCGAATTAGTTCGATCGGTTAACGGTTAAGAAAATTTTTAGAATTCGATTAACAGTTAATTCGGTTCGAATTCGGTTAATTAACCGAATTAACCGAAATTAAATTTTAAATATTAAATATATTATATATAACATATGGACTCAGTCCAAACCATTTAAAACCTAATTAATAATTTAAGATCCAATAACTTTTAAACCTAAATCAATATTAATTAATTAAAAAAATTATATAAAATTTTTATTTTATAATTATATATTATTTAAATTAATTATAAACTGTTTTTTTAATTAAAAAATATTAAACATATTATATATAACATATGGGTTAATCCCAAACCATTTAAAACTCAATTAATAATTTAATATCCAATAACTTTTAAACCTAAATCAATATTAATTAATTAAAAAATTTATCTGAAATTTTTATTTTATAATTATATATTATTTAAATTAATTATAAACTTTTTTTGAATTTAAAAACATTTAATTTTTATATAAATTAGAAAATTTTAAAAAAAAATCGGTTAATTCGAAAATTAACCGATATTTATTTCGTTCGGTTAATATTTTTTAAAAAAAAATTCGGTTTGGTTAACGGTTAAAGAAAAAAAAATCGATTAATTCGATTATGATTAATTCAGTTCGATTCGATTCGATTCGATTTTAACTAAATGAAGAACCCTACTTACAATGAAATAAAGATGAGAGAGCAATTAACAGTATTTAACGACTATAATTAGAATAAGAAATTTAAATGTAGACACTTAGAATCTAAATTTGTAAATAAACAACAGAAATCACGTGATTCTTCGGTCCAACAAATCCATGGACTTCCCGCCTTACGTTTTTTTTCGAAGCCCTAAAGACTTTCTCTTACTTTCTCAGCCCTATTTCCTCTAATTTTCCCACTCTTATTTTCCCGCCTCTCAAACACGCCTCTTTTTTCTTTCTCATTAAAACCCAATTTATTTCTCTCCAGCAAAAGAAAAAACAGTTTTCCTCCACTGACAACTATCCACGTTCCATATCCATCAGAAAAATTCTGAAAATTTCCCAGATGAAACCCATTACAAGATCCTTCAAGACCGAAACAGCATTCCCCAGATATCTAAAGCCAGGTGCTTTAGCCCAGTTAAGAGACTCCAAAATCAATGCCAGATCCAACAAGCTCAAGCTGTTTCGACTCGACTCGATCCCGACTCTGATTCCGAGCCAAACCCAGATCCAGATTTCAGATTTCGATCAGATCCCAATGTTCCTCAGCAAGATCTATGGAGCTTCATGTTGTCTCCAAAGGAAGAAGCTTTTGGCTCCCAAATCTCTTTTGCTCGTCAATTTGCAGGCTTCTGCTCGAAGTTTAGAATCTAGGGAGAATAATGGTAATGATAATGTTAGGGAGAGTAGAAGTAATAGGAATGGTGAGAATTTGTTGATTAACGTGCTAAACAATGATGTTGCTGTTGCTCATTGAATCAAGTGATGAACAAAAAATTGGGTTTCTTTGATTTCTACTGTAATTTCCCCCCTTTTGTTATATTGATTTTCCATGGAAATTGTGTGTGAATTTTGCTTTTTTATTTTAAAGGAAAGTTGACAAATTTAAATACTAATTGCATCTAAAATTACATCATTTTTAACACATTCAGAATCATCGAGAAAAAATTAAAATGAAATTATCCATGATACAGCTCAATGAGCAATTCGGTTTGCCTCCCGAACTTTGAAATCGGGATCTAGCGAATACCGTGTGTATCTTGTTGAGCATCAATCCAATCACTGAAATGTCTCTTCGTGGGTTGTCAAACGGTAACAATAAAATAGTATCTCCTTTGATGATCACATTTTCTCATCCATTCTTGGTTGTGAAACGAAGTCTCTCCTAAAAGCTGCTAGTTTCAGTTGACTCTGCTGTTTGTGATCCGTCAAGTCGACGAGGGAGCCCGTCTATAATTATTCCTTGTGATCTCGAACAACCATTCCTATTGCGGGAGCTCCGGTGTTGGGGATGAAAGCCCCATCAACATTGATTTTCTTTTTTAGATAATTCAAATTTATATTGCTCGAAAGAATCACAGTTCTGCTAAAGTACAATCATCAACATAGTTTAACATTCAACTATACAAAAGAAAATGATCGGTTAGACAATACCCCAATAATTACAAAGAGTGAGGTTTATGCTATCAATTCTGTTGATTTGTTTCCCTTCTAATTGTATTCCTACGCTTTCCTTAATGACTTTGAGGAGATCCTCAGTTGTTTTTGCGCTACTTCGAAACATTTTTCGATTTCTTTCCTCCCATAGAGTGTATATATATAAGCACACCAAGCAATTTTTAATATTGTTGTGAGAAGCGATTTACCTTTCCAAGCGTTACATGCCCATCTTTTCATGTCTTCCCATGACGAAGTAGAAATTCTCAATCCATTAAGGTTCATTATAGAATCCCATAAGGAAATAGCCATTGGGCATAGTAACAAAATTGATTTTCCTTACTCCGGTTTGCTCCAAAGCTTGTTACGATTTTGTATAGCCCTCTCTCGGTTGCATGAAGGTGTCCCAAGAGCCTCCAAAAAGTCGAATGCAGGAAGCCATGTTGCGTTAACAGTGTCCCTCATTCTTTGAAGTTCTATCTCGTGCACCCATTTATTTCTTCGATTTCATACGTTCCATAAGAGTATGATCAGCAAGGTGAGACCACTTTTGTCCAGCAAACCTGCAGCACCTTCAAGTCAATTTTTACAGTTAGTTGCTAGCATATATATAAGATTCTATGTTACAATGAAGAATTTATAAAATTTTAAGAGGTAAAAAATATTATTAATATAAAATAAAAAATATCTAAATTATATAATAATTTGAAATTTTCAGGTTCCCTATCTATCCATATATGAGAATCCTATGAAATCGAGTCATAAACTAATAATCTTTTAACAATAAGTTGTAATGAAACTAAGATAATTTCTTACTATTACTTATGGGATTCATTAATCTGTCTTTTCTTTGATCAGACGTTGATTTAAAAATTAAGATTTATTACCAGATACATTGAAAATTAGATTTATGAAATATGAATGTCACCCTTATCTGTTTGAAAAATCCTATAATTCTTGAGTAACGGATAAAAATATTTTTTAGAATGTATATATATATGTATTGGTAACACAAATTTTTTATGTAGAATAAATACAAATAAAATTTCATGATAGATACAATCAATAAAATATATAATTAACTAAAAAAAATCAAATTTTGAAGGAGGTTCTTACATGCTTGGAAAGTATTAGGTTTTTACTACTACCACTTATCAAATCCTTATATTTAGTATTTTCTGAAAAATTAGATACTCTAATTTGACTCATCAGATAGCTCAAGCTACTCATGTTCTATTTATAATCATTAATTACATTATTTATATTTACTATTTTTATGAGTTTAATTATGTCAAAAATATTAAAAATAAATGATACCAATATATTTTTAATTAATTTTATACTTTTTAGTTAAACATTATAATCTTACGCGTCAATTAAAATAATTTAAGATTCTTTGTGATTATATTTCGTAATTTATTGTCAATTATAATATTATATTTTAGGCTAACGAGTGTTGGAACAAGTGATTGAGATTCATGAATTTGAGTTTGTAAGGTCAAGTTCGAATCCCACCACTGTCACTCTTGGTGTGCAATCTGTAAAGTTCTATACAAATCTCAATTGGGTCTTAGGTATGCCTTGACCTAGACTGGGGAGCCATCCTTACCTAAACTTTTGTGTACTAAAAAAAATAATATTATATTTTAGATGTACGGAGCTAAATTAAGTAGCTGTTGGCTCTACAAAGAGACAAAAGTAAGGACCCTTTCACGGCGGCTGCGGTGGAGCATGCGTTTGTTAACAATGAAATGAATCTGCAATCTTTTCAGCACAAAAGAATTGACATTTGTTCAACTTCACTCACTCCTTTGATGTTTTGCCATATTCGTTGAATGACGGCTGCAAATTTGTTGCATTTTGCTGGGTACCAATAAAAAAAGTTAATATAAAAATTTACCCTTAAATTATATCATTTTCTCATTTAACTACTTTTTTTAAAAAGTAGTATTTAACCTATAAATTTTTTAATCAATAAGAACATGACATGTCACATATAATTGAATGATATTTATTTTTTGGTGAAATGAGAATTATATGTTAGGTTACGTACTATTTATGAAAAAAATTATTGAATAATCTAAGTAATTATAAGGTAATATTTGTTTATAATATTTATTAGTCATTGATAATGTACACACAGCTATAAACATAATTGCTTAAACTCAAAAATTTAACAGAAAACAAAATTTTCTTATATCACTGATGTCGTTCAATGAGTTAAAGAAATTAAAAATCTAGTGAAAAATGATAAAATGTCATTTTTAATTTTACAAATGTGTTTCTTACTTAATCATAGTAAACTCTTACGATTAAGCATTTCAATTTACCATCAATTCATTGAATAAAGAATTTGAAAAATATGGTTAAATTTCTCACCATTTTCTTAATTTTAAATTTGTTATTTTTTAACATTAAAAAGATATTTATGAAAGGTTATATTTGGTTAAATAAAATATTATTTTTATAACTATAAAGGTTTAAATCAAAATAAATTTAAACCTAAATGTCTTGTTGGCATTATTTTAGGAAATTGGTTTCCCCTTTTTCTTTCCTCCTTTTATACAATATAATATAATTATTGCACTTCAAATCACATTTTGCTTTGTCTTTCTATGGCGTAATCAATGTACAGCAAATCTAAGTGGATTTGACATCATTATTGACTAATCAAGCTTTTGGCTAATATTTTAACGACAAATTCAAATAAGTTTTCTGCATTATTCTAATTTAAATGTTAAAAATAAAAATAATAAAGGATTAAATTATATTAACCATGTATGTGGATTTAATTTAAACTTTTATATTTCTAATTTAATTAAATAAGTTTGTAATTAAATAAAAATATCATCGTCAGCTCTTCGCCTGTTTCCATCACTGTCGTTTAATGTATATAAATCATCATGGTTTGACAAATCACAAAATCTCTCTTTAATATTTATTCTCTCTCTGTATTAAAAAAATGTAGGGAATAAAAACTACAGTCCATTGTAGCTTTATTGCATATACTTACGTACGTTTGTATTTAATACTCAAATTATTTAATTAGGTCTTGATTTAAAGGAGTTCACATTTTAAAAATATAAGGCTAACACTAAATACTGTTAAACTTTAGGCTGTATTTTACTTTTAACATTGAACTTTAAATTATTTCGGTATTAGCAATAAACTTTAATTTTGAATTCAATTAAGATATTAGGCCTTTAAATCACTAGTGAAGTGATGACATGATTGTTTCTTCCTATAAACTTTAATTTACATATTGATTTTATTATTCATTTTAAAAAATTTGGTATTAAACTTTTATTTGTACATCAATTTAGTCGATATAGAAAATTATTAACTCATGTGGTTGTTGTTGGTATTCACGTAAATATCGATATCAAAATGCTCGTATTTTGTATTTTTTTTCTCATCGGATTCGTTTTTTTTATGAAACTAACTCAAAATCAATAAAAACTCATCTAAAGGTTTGATGATCTAATGCTTTGCTATCCTTTGAGTATTGTTTGATAAAACTAGTTTCAAGGTATGTTGTTTGTCTTGTTGAAAAAATGCTTCAAGTCGTTCATATTTTTTGAACAAACATCTCAATTCTCAAACCCCTCAAATCAAATTCAAAAAGTCTCAAAATCTCAAAAGTAATAAATTTCTGTGAGTTTTAAAGAGGGTTTAGAAAAATCTAAACCGAAAAAATAGTAAAGGACGGTGAGACGTGTTCATTGGTGTCTATAATGACTACAAAAGACTCTGAAGAATGGTGATTTTCGATAATGCTAAAAATTAGTGAAAAAAACTTTAATTTTGATGAAAAATATGATGAGGTGAAATAAAAAAAAACCTCTCCTGTCATCACCAAACTACATGTTTTCTCAGTATTAATGGTTTAATGGCGCAATGCTTTAGTTGAACTAGAACTCAAAGTTTAATGATCAAATTAAATTTTTTTATATTTAATGGTAAAATCGATATACAACCTAAAATTAAATGATATTTGATGTAATTTACCCAAAGCCAATTTACAATTTTTTTTCTTTAATAAGACAACCCAGATAAACCAAAGAGATTATAAAATGAGATAATGATGTAAACCCTGGTTTTAATTTTCTCTACATTTCTAGTGGATATAGTAATTGCATTAGATTAATTAAAGCACTTCTGATAAAGCCAATAACCAATCCATTTCTGAAGATCAACTACTCAGCTTTTCCAATATTGTTTTTCTTTTTATCAAAATGAAAAGTTCTTGAAGTTGATTCTTCAAAGATGGTATCATATCTAAGGTGGATTTGGATGTTCTTAAATGCCTAATTCACCCTGGAAAAATTAAGGCAGGTCAGTGAACATATACAGCAAAACACCAAATCAGATCATAACTCTATTTCCTTTTACTTCTTGTTTTACTTTTCCTGTCCTTCTCTGTCAAAAGTTGAGTTCTTGAAATACTGAAAAGGCAGCAGGCACCCATTAATATATTTTTGAAGACAAAACAAAAATGGTTTGTCTTATTGCTCGGTTCTTCTTTGATTACTGCTCTATGTCTTCCATTTTGGCTGTTTGAGTCTCCCCTTTGCAGAAAACGCTGCTTTTTGTATCATTTTCTGTAGGTGAAATTCTTATGCATTTATTGTTTTTACTGAAAAAGAAGAGAACTTTTCATTTTAATTGATATTTCGTTCTCATGGTGCAGACCACTTCGGAATCTTGGGAAAGTTGTGGCCTTTCTGAAGGTTCTTAATCTCCAGGGAAAGGTAGATGCGTTCCCTTTGTTTATTTTTGTATGAATTTGTGGATTTTGGAATGTGAAAACTGAAAAGTGGAAACCACGTGATGTGTTTGTAGAAATTCATCAATGGAAGATAGGTGTGGTTATTCGAGGCAGGGAAGTGGTGTGTGGAGATCATTGAGAGATGGGGATTTTGAGGAAGAAGATGTTTGGGCAGTTCTTAAAGAAGGAAAAGATTCTAATACTATCAAACTTGGCCAATCCATAGAAGAATCATCATCATCTGTTGTTACTGTTAGAAGACACCTCCCAAGTGCTGCAAGGATGATCCCAAGAACTTTCTCTGTTGTTAATACCAGTTGCAGCAGCAATAATATAGGCAGTTCTAGTTCAAGTTCCAGTCATGAAGCTAATGGTGGTGTCAAGCAGCAGCAATCAGCTCCTGTCAACATCCCTGATTGGTCTAAGTTCTCTAGGAAGAACAAATCAAAGAAGGGCTTATCATGGCATGATGATGATGATGACGACTATGACGATGACGATGATCATGATTCTGGTGCCGAAGAAGAAGAAGGATTCGATTCCAAGTTGCCACCACATGAGTTTCTTGCAAAGAGGCTTGCAAGGAGCCAGATATCGTCTTTCTCGGTGTTCGAAGGCGTTGGCCGGAAACTCAAAGGGAGGGATTTAAGGAAAGTGAGGAATGCAGTTTTGACAAGAACAGGTTTCCTTGAATGATGTTTTCAAGTATATGTTTAGTCCCTCTCCACATTGATGTAGTTTCATAAATGGTAGAATGTGAATTGTGGAAAGAGTTCTTTCTGTTTTCAGTGTTTGTATATAGGGGTTTTGAATGAAATCAATGTTCATTGTCAGATGTGTTTTAGTTGGAACATTTTCTACTTCACTTCAGAGCCGTGGAATTGAATTTCATGAAATGAAAGCAAGCTTTGAGGATGAACCAGGCTAAATGTAATGAACAAGCGTGTGAATTACGTGCTTTCGTTGCTCACGTAATATTATTTTAATTTATGTGTCAATTGTCATGTTAATATATAATTTTAAAATTTTAAAAATATTCATATAATAGTATATATGAACATATAAATTGTAATAAATATTCAACGATAACTCTCAACAATTTGATATTGAATACACATACCCTTGATATTCATGGTGTTCATACCTGAAACCTTAAGAAATAACAACATTTTCTTTACCATTGAGGTCACTAAATTCATGCATTCATTGAGTGACCTCATTCTTAAAAGAGAATGTTAATCTCCCTAGATATGATGAGCTATGACATATGCAAGAAGTGTGTTGCCAATAAATTAAAAAAATTCTCAACATATATTATTTTATAATCATCTCATACTATTAAAAAAATAAGATCATAACAATATATATTATAATAATTTTATGTATATTAAGTTACATTTTTAAGGTGATGAAATGATCCGAATAGTCAACACTGTGGATAAGAGTCTCAGCTTTTGAATCACGTGCGAGATTTTTCACATTCACCTAACTCATTTTTATTTACTATTAACAGAGGTAATTTATCAAAGGAAAACATGTTCTTCAAAGACTTATGGTTGACATTGAAAGAAACCCAACAATAATTCAGCATTGAAAAGCACATTTTAATTATCTAATGTAAAAGATTGCCCTCAATAATTTAGCCTTGAGAGAAGTGAAAGTGGGCTAAAGCCTTCATTGATATATAATAAACCCAGAAACAGACGTACCCAGATTTCAATTACTGGCCTGAATCCCAAACCCAAGGGTTATGTGGACTTTTCGATCCGAAGGCTAAATATATTCGATAAAAGTATTCATGAATCGAATCAAATTAAAACAAAGCTTAAATGTTTAATTTAACCTTAGACTTGAGCATACATAAAATTAGACTCAAAATAAGTAGATATTGCTTGGACCTTTGCCTCATTGAAACCACTCATTTCTTTTGTAGCCAATTTCCTCATCTCTTCCACCAATTTGTTCAATTCTTTGTCATTTCTTTCAACTCTACTTATCATACCTTGTATTTTTCCCACGTATAGACCACACCTCATTTTCCCAATCTCCTCTTCGCTTCCGCCACCTAATATCGCCCCGCACGCGGCCGCGCAAGCATGTAACGTGCCTTCGTAATTTTCGATTTTTTCAACATGGCGTGACTCGTTATTGTGTGATTTATATCATTCTACATTATAGTACTGTTTATGTATCATACCTTGTGAACCTATGGCACTGTGATCTCGATTATTACACGTAAAATTTGACTCTAAATGTTTCGAGTCGGATCATCTGATTTAGCTAGTAGCTCGAACCCGAATGATACCATTGCATCCCCTATGAGCAACTCTATGCTCGGGCCGTAGAGATGCCAAACATCGGATTTGGGCCTACAACTTTGGGTAAACTGAAGGTGTTCATGTGTGAAGGAACCCGAATACATGAGCCAGAGTGCAGATGCCGTTGGCAAAGCAACTTCTCGGTGATCGCCGACGAGCTAGCAGGCAGCCACACATAATGCTGGCACGATGCTTCGTGGGGTGGCGAACGTCAAACCCTTCATGGGCTCAAAAACAGAGGGAGGTTCTCGGATCGGAATGGCTTGCTTGAGATGGGCTTTGATGTTGGAGTTTATGGAGGCCCAATGAGAATGGTTACAAGACATGGTAACCTTGAAAACCCTACAAGGCATCTGTAAGAGGCACTGACGATTGGGATTTGGTCTACAAGGAACATGAAACACTGAGATGCCATTGATGTTAGAAAGAGCTCTGGCCATGGATAAGTTTCAAAAAGCTTCAAAAGATAGAGAAAGAAAAAGGTTGAAGAAATGAGGCTTTGACCTTTTTGTTATATAGCGTTAGTTGTGGAAGAAACGAGGAGAGTTTAAAGGACAATTATATGACATGAGATGTCACTATTGCCACGTCAGATATTCTTGTAATATTCATTTTTTAATTATTGTTGTTGAAATAGGAAGTCTATTTTTTTTTTGGATAAGCCTAAAAAACATTTTCTTGATAACAAATGTTCCATAAAATAAATAATAATAATAATGTGAATTAAAAATATCATTTTATTAATTATTAACTGGTCTAATAAAATCATATATTATATATATTTTTAATTTAAGATTAGTACAATATAATATATATTTAAATATAACTGTCAATCATTTGATATCGAACACTCATACCTTTATCATCCATAATACTCAAAATTAATAATTCTTTTAAAATAAAAAATATGATAAAATGTTCTTATAATATAAGCCACAAGTTTCAACGCGATGAAATGGACTTGTACTCTACGGTCTTCCACTGCAAAGAGTTATTAGCGTATGTCGGGTGCTGTTGGAAATTTGATGCGGTGTGACTAGAATTGTAATGTTGGGCGATATATATGGTTCAACATAAAGGTGTTTATCAAATTAGTTGATTACTAGTTGAATAATATTCTATTAGATTTTAGAATTATTTGATTTGATCCATTATTTATTAGGTTTGATAAAATTTTACTTGGTTCATATTTATTAAAAAATACATTACTCGATTTGTTACTCTTTAAGCTCACTATAATTTTTACCTTATTTTTTTAAATATATATGTAAAATCTAGTAATAATATAAGGGACAAGATTCAATTACACTAAGTGTAAAACTTTTAGTTTTAAACTTTTTTTGGGATTGTTGGATGAGTGACATCAAATGTTGAGTTTAACAATAGGAAATAAGAAGATCCAAAGAAAAAAAGAATTAATTTCAACATTTAATTTTTCTCATCTAATGGTCTTAAAAGATGTAAAAATAAGAGTTTTGCACTTGATATAAGTGAATCATAACCCGTAATATATATAGTTTATGTAAACATAAATTAATAAATATAACAAAAAAAATCAAAATAGTGTGTGAAGCAATTCCAAAATTTAAACTCGAGAATAACAATTCACAAATACACCAAACTAACATATTATAACTAAAGTAACAATCCACAACTACACCAACTAACATATTACAATATTTTTGAAAAAAAAGTTTAATAATACATAATCAATCTTAAAAAGTGGACAAATAACTTCTTAAAAGTGATTAAAAAAATAATGAGTTGTTCGCGAATTTATCAAGTTAAATTGAACCTTGTTCAATTAGACTCATCGATGTCTTGAGTCGAACTCAAATTCGAGTCAAATAAACTTAAATCAAACATTAAACAAATTTTAAATGAATCGAATTTAAACTACTCAACTCAAATAGAAGCCCTAGTTGAACCTCAATCTAATCTTTCAAACATAAAATCATTAGATTATTAATAATTTAATGACTTTTTCATCAGCTTTTATTGTTGTGCCTGTTGATTAGGTTATAGATAAGCTACCCAAACACAATTGTTTTCTTAATTAATCCTTGTGTGTAAAACTATCCCCTAATGCTTTCCAGTTGGGAAATTTACACATATGACCCAACAAATTCAATAGAAGTTTGCACGTGGTCTTCAGTCTGCACATATCTCAGATTCTCAGTCTTGCTCCTTCATGTGACTATGTGAGGTGTGGTTTTTATTGTTGCTCGTACTGAAACCTTGCCGACCACATAATTCTTGTATTTTTTTTTCTATCTTTACATACTTGGACTGGTATGACGATTTTTTTTGAAGGGTCTAACTTCAATTTTTTTAATAGGTGTTAATTGAAATTTTCAAAAAATTTAAGAGATTGAATACAAAGTTTTTAAAGTCTCGGGGCCAGGGCTCTCTCCGACCGTTCATCCTCTCGGCCAATAGAGTTTTGTTTCACGTTTCTTTCGTTTGTTTGTGGCGATGTTCATTGATTTGATTTGTTAATTTTTCCCCTTTAACACGAATATTATTTTTGTTTACAATAACTATTTTTTTATATATTATAAAATATTATTCGTTTATTTTCTTAAAATTATCAACAACGTATATATATCTTTATAAGTGTAATTATTTGAATCTAAATTCTTTAAAAGATAATATTCTCTCTCACTAATGAAATCATTCAATAAGTTTATAAATAAAAATTTGATAAATAAGAAATATATAATCTATCCTTATAACTCTAAAAGTATAATTCTTATATACTATTTTAATTTTCGATTTGGTGGAAATTCTGAAAATTGATAAAACAAATAGACAATTTTCTAAGGTTAAAATTTTATATTAAAACGTACAAGTTGAAGATATTAAAAGAATTAAGAATCAAATTAATAGTTTTGACTTTTATTAATGCAAATAAATTTCTTTAAACACCTACCAATAATTTTCACTAATTAATTAAATATACCATTTCTCATTACATAATATAGAAAATTTAATTCATTTTATTGAAACAAAGTCAATGGGCCATGAGCAGTATGTGAAGTGAACATGCAATTTGGTCACAATGTTAGGTGACACCATGTGGTTCATTTAATATAGCAAATTTAATTCATTTTATTGAAATATGGTTACTTATACTTTCCCAACTAAACTTAGGTTTTATATAAGTCGTTGTTATTTACCATTTTTTTTCAATTTAATTAGTAACTACGGAATCTCAATCATTTTAGTTTAATCCTATGTGATACAAAAGTATAAGGACAGATCATGACTAACTGCTTAGGCTTTTCTTTATTGGTGAATAAAAACTATGCTTACCTTTTTCTCCAGATCATTTTACCCGTTTTTACTCCGACTCGAAAATTGAAATCTGCTATTTTATTATTATTTATCTCGATAATTGATACTATTTCAGAATTAATTTCAAATTTTGAGAATAAAAACTGTCTCATGCAAACCTAATCCACCAAATA